TTAAAATTTTAGAAAGAGAAATTATTTTAAATTTTTTAGAGAGAGACAAAGGATTGTATTTCCAAAAATAAGATATCCCTGCAATCCATGCAGGGAATTTGTATTTTCTTAATTTCTACTGGATGCGATCCAAACAGCACCTACCATATTTTACGAAACGTCAATTCCAATAAATCTCAATTCTATGATTGATTTTTCCCAGGATTTAAAAAAAATGGGCCTTCTTAAGTATTTTGAGTATCAAGAAGCATTTAATATTGGCATGAGGTGTCGCATAGCAAGGTCAAAATGCTTATATCGCAATTATCTTGTGATTATTTCTCTACATTTTATAGGGATTTTAGAGGTGCACCTCAATTTACATTTGTAAGGTGTCAACGTTGTATAAACATCTCTCTATTATAAAAGTTATTTTGTGCATGCATCTAAAAAGCATAAAACTTCAATGAAATTTTTACAAAGCTTTTAAACCGATTTTATAACTTTGCAATAGAAAAGAAAGCAAGCATGCAGTAATAGAATAGTCATAGTTTTTTTATTTAATTTTTACTTTTTTATTGGTCTACGGTGTTTATATAAAACTTTAAATGCACGTTGCTACCTTGCCATTTAGTTCTAATTCTATGTGCAGTATCTTTTTTAATCTCTCTATTTTTCATTGGTCTACAGTGTTTATATTATTAAGTTTTATTCTATTTTAATAAAAAAAACACCAACAAATAGAAAATTTGGTACAAGAGAACTCGAGAAGCAAACAACATCCATGTATAATATAAAAACAAAAAATTATAAAAGATGCATGAACTTAATAAAGATACATGTATGCCATATAAGTAGATTGAGCGCATCAATTTATAATGTTTCCCACTAATAAAAAAAATCAAAAAATAATTGAGAGAGAAGCCCAAAATTTAGATATAATGTGGGAAAGCCCAGAATTAGAGGATATTTTGAGATTACTCAAATACCCAATAGCACAATGTTAAGAGAGGAAGAATTTTCGTAATGAAAACATTTGGGCACCAATTGGGTTTTTGGGAGCCCAAAGTTTTGCACCATTAGGGTTTTTGGAGGCCCAAATTTAGGGCACAACCGCTCTGAATAGGACTCAGGAAGAGAGAGAGAGTTACGTTCGCTATGGGACTTAGGGGAGAGAAAGAGTGTGCCGGTACTTTTTGGAGAGAGAGAGAGAGAGGTGGGAGATGCTCTGGTGCCCAAGGGCCAAGACGCACACATTAAAAAAAAAAAAAAAAAATTTCACTTTTTAAGCAACTTTCAAAAGTTCAAAACTCTTACTTGTTAACTAAAGAGAGAGAAAAAAACGGGAATACCAATTTTACCCACAAGAGAGATTGAAATTTTGCATTTTTGCCTTGAAACTTTTCGGTCAAATGCTATTTCTCAGTCGAATCCATCCGCAGCGGCCGAATCTACCTGAAGCAACTGAAGGCTTCGGCGTCGAATTTGACAACATTTCGAGAAGCCTTAGTGGATTATTAGAAAAGGAAAATAGTTTGATGGGGCTCAAACCCCATCAAACTAAATAAAGCCTCGCCTACAGCCCATTGAAAATTATAATTCAAGTATTGGAAAACAATTACATTGAACATCTCGACTTAAATATTATGGTTGTGAAAAAAAAAATATGATTTTAAGCTCTAAAAATAGTATATATTGTAATAAATTATCTAGACCGTCTATTTTATCTTAAAAAATAAGTGTTCATAGATCCGTAAGGTCGGTACCACTTTTTGGTTTCAAAATTTTCTATCGGTGTTGAAAATTGATTTTATATCCATCATGGAGATTTTCATTGGTAAAAATTCTTTCCAAACGAGGATTTGAGATGAGGCTTTATTTATTTTCATAAAATCTAGGCCATATAGAAACTTCATCGATCAGGAAAAGTGATTTATATAATGTGCTCACTCCTAAAATCATATCTTCCTCTTTTTCCTTTTTTTTTTTGTTTTTGTGGTATATTGATTGTCATAAGGATTAAATAATTCCAAAAGGGTTCAAGATCAAACAAGTGAGGATCAAACAAATCCTAACTTGTTTGCCGTGCAAGACAACCAAATCATTTCCAAACAACAAGAAGCGTAGCCAATAAATAGTACATAAAGTAAAACATTTTAATTTTTCAAAATCTTAATGGTCCTCTAAGAACATGAGAAACACGATGTTCCTACACCTAAAAACAAATTATTTTGTGATAGGTGCAAGATTATAGGAAGTCCCAAGTCAGTATTCAGCATTACAAGACACCCTACCCAATTCAATAACATAAAGTAATTTGGGGTACGAAAATTAGTTTAAATCCCTTTTCACCTCGAAATTGGTCCAAACTTCATATTGGAATGGATACTAGGATTTGGAGATTGAAGCTCTAAATTAAATTTTATTGGGAGAGCCACTACGGAAATGATATTATATGAAGGGATTGCATACTATGAAATCATTTACCGTTATAATGACATTACAATTACTGCTAGCCATTAGATTTCAAATAATTACTGTTAGCCATTAGATTTCAAACAATTACTGCTAGCCATTACCACTAGCCATTAGATTTCAAACAATTACTGCTAGCCATTAGATTTCAAACAATTAATGTTGGCCATTACAATTACAATTACTGCTAGCCATTACAATTACAATTGCAATTAATTACTGTTAGCCATTACAATTACAATTACTGCTAGCCATTGGATTTCATTTAACGTTACAATTACTCCTAGCCATTATATTTCAACTGGAGTGTGTCACAAAGTTCAATTTTTGAATTTTGAATCTAACTTACAAAAACTCAATTTAAAATATGATGGACAAAGGCGATTGTGACTTCCTTACACTAAAGAGGAAATAGTCTCTTTGAATTCTTCTCCCAAAAGTTTATCTAGAACTAAAAAAATGCACCGAATCGCTGGGATCACCATATTTGAATGTTCGTGCATGAACATCAAATGTTCACCATAAAAAACACAGCCGATTGGGATCTATGGCAACAACATTATGCGGCAATTAAGGATCAATGCAAGCGACAAGTGCGACCTTTGTTTACATACAAATATCTGAAACATGGAGTGCGTTTGGTGGTTTGGCAACCGGAAATTTTGGTATTGAAGTCCAAATTTCCACTTGCACTATACTAATTCCCAGTCTAGCAACAGGAAACAGTACATAACATGGAAGTTCACATTTCTCAAATGTAAGAAATGCCATCTTTAACCCTCAATTTTGGGTGATTCGTTTTTTCGGATTTCCCATTTTTGGGCCCTTTGTTTCATTTGAAAATGTGATAAATTATTTATTTCTTTCTTTCTGAAATCGGATTAAAACGAAATTTGGATGGTGTATGTGTCTCAAAGTTTTAAGTCTATTTTAATTATTTCATTTTTCATAGGTTATTTTTTTTTAATTATTTTATAGGTTCATGAGATTTAGGTCGAAGAAGGGTGATGACTTTAAACTTTCCCTTAACCTATCCCATGCCTGGGTAAAAAGGCTAGGTTGTATTACGTAAACAACCAACGTAAAATTTTGCCAAAACTCATCATGCATTCAGAAAACCACGGTATTACCCGACCACAATTAATTGGAAAAAAATTATGATGATGATGTTCAAATGTTGATGCCCATTATTTCAGAATGCTGACCCCAATACTAAATCATGCTCTAGAGTGCCCAGTCGAGATATGACATTTGAGATTGATATCGTAGTTTCCAAAAAAATATTTTAATTTGTTTTAAACAAAGTTTGGAAGCTTAGGCACCCAAAATTTTCACTCAATCTGATTTATATTAAAATAAATATAAACCCAAAAATATTTGGTCCATGAGGGTATTTGGTTCATACAATCTCTCCAAGTTACTTGTTCGAATTTTTTTTTTTGGGGAGGTGTGTGAGGGTAGGAAGTTTGGAGACCTCATTCAAAACGTTTTTTCTTCTTTGTGAGATCTAGATTGCTCGTTTTGTTAGACCTCCCATGGATGAGCAATGATTTCAAAATCTCATTTATTTAACAAATATCACTATCTCATTATGAAAGCCTCAATTAATAGCCAAATTGTCAAATTTAAATATTTTGTTATTACAAAATTCCAACTAAAATCGAACGCATGATTGGGTACTCTAATACGCATATTTCTGTCAGCTGGATTTAAAAATTGGATAATTTCTTTCTTCCTACTTTTAGTGGACAAATGCCAACTAATTTGGTTTTAGTTTTGCGTTTACTATGGAAAATTTCGCTTGTACCTTAACTTGGTGTATCATTTCCATGTAGGCTCACATATTGGAAAATTATCTAGCAGCATTAATTTTTTGAAAAAGCTATCTTAAAACCCCGTAAATCTTGATGATATTTTTATATCCCAAATAACTTTCAAAATAACAAGCTCTCTTTCTCTTTGTATTTTTTCAGACATATTTTCCTCTCTCTCCATGAGGCCATGTTTTAAGGTGTGTGCAGAGACCTCAAAAAAACACATGATAATGTTAGTGAGTAAATAAATGCTTTACCTTAAGGATGCTAAGAGAGAGAGAAAAGACGATGGTAAAAGGTGAGAGAGAAGAGAACCCGTTATTTCAAAATCTGTCTAGAACTTTTAAAAAACCTAACACTGATCGATACTTTTCTAATCGATGGGTCTACTAAGATAAATACCATAAGGTGTACAAAGAAATTTTCTCTTATTATTATCATTAATTGCAATTGTTGGAGTCCGGTCCCATGAGGTACTTCATGTCCCTTTGCCTCCATGTCTTTCAATAAATTGAAAGCAAGGCCCTGGCACAAGACACATCTCATTGCTTTTGAGAGAGAGAGAGAGTATGGAGTCTGCAACGGAAGAGAAACCCCACGCCTTGTGCCTCCGGTTTCCCGTTCAAGGCCATATTAACCCTTCGCTAAGCTTCTCCATGCTAGAGGCTCTTACATTACTTTTATCAACACTGAATTTAACCATGAGCGTGTAACACTAGATCAAGAGGAGCCATGGAATTGAAGCATTTAGAGGATTTCAAGCTGGAATCAATCCCCGATGGCTTGCCATTGGAGCATGGCCGGGATGTTCCGAGCCGTTCTGATGCCACAGGGAAATATTTCTTGAGTCCTTTCCGGGATTTGGTTTCAAAACTCAATGGCTACATACAAGTCCCTCGGCTTACATGCATAATTTCGGATCGCAGCTTTGCGCATGTGGTTGCAAAAGAGCTCGGGATCCTGACAAGTAGTTGTGCATTCTGGGGTTTCTTGCACTACCACAAACAAGCTCATCGAAAGAGGAATTGTGCCATTCAATGGTCTCTCTCACACACATTCTCACTCTATCATTACTTCCTTGAGATCGTAGGTGCAAGAAATGCCCTTGAGAACGCTTATCCAAAAAGGCAATTGTAATTAGGTAACATCTATTTTGTATTTGTGTAGCGCGAGAGAGAGAGAGAGGGAGTCTCAAATATAGGTGCCCTCTTACTCACACACACATTTTTTTGTTATCTTGTCATTCTCGTTTAGTCCACCACAAAAGAAAAGATAAGTCCTTACAATGATAGAGAATCAGCCAGAACCTTTTTAGTAGTACCATCGAGCCCCATAAAAAATGTCTCGGACTCCAATTGCATAAAAAGGTAGGGGCCTAAATAGTCACTAATACACCAAAAAAAAACAAAAAACAAAAAAAAATAACTCACAAGGGCCATCCGCCACTTCTTTAGAAGGTTATGTCTCATACCATGATCCTTTTTAGAGTGCCTTGCCTGTTGCACATCCCACTATTATCTTTCCAAGCTTTTAGGGTATCCACTAAAATAGTCGCTCAACATTGGATTTAAACGCTTGAAATATTAACTATTTTTACAGTCTACTTATGGTTTCGTGGATGTGGTGTTGTGCCTCCGAATAATGCTGAACCAAGCAGTACGCCACCTATTCTCGTGCAACTATTTAAGAATTTTCTCCCTAAGAGCAATGGGTGTTAATGGGTTGGGTCGACCCAACTCGAATCCATGCTTTTGGATCTGGATCCGAACATTGGGTTTAAAAATTGGACCTAGGCCCGACCTGGTCAGGGTCGGTTCCAAGTCTAGCACCTAACAAAATTTTATTTTTTCGAGATGTAAATAATTTGGCAGATAATTTGGCTAAAGGAAATGCTTCTTTATGTTCTTTTTCTATTTCTGATGATCTAATCCAAACTGGGTAACTTGGTTCTCAATAAGATTTTTTAACATTTGTCAAAAATATCATTTAAAACATATTCCAAAAATATATTTTAATATATATATAAAGTTTATATAAGGTTGCAACCTTAAAATGTAGAATTACGTATGCACCTTAAATATCTATCGGAAAGGTTGTTTTAATGTTGAAAAGCCCTCTATTTGATCATCTCGACATCGAGATGTATGAATATAAATAAAAAAAGTTTTTAAGTCTCAGAAATAGTGCATCTTGCAACGCATTATCTAGGCCATCCATTTTCAAGATTTTCATATGTTTTTAGATCTCCTTGACTTTAACTATGTTTGGAGTTTAGAATTTTCTAATTAGATATGAAAATAGATTTTAAGTGAATCCTAAGAATTTTTTATAACAAAATTACATGTTATGATAAAATTTCGAGGTCCGCCTTAATTGGTTTGTTTACAGTTGCAACGTTATAGAAACCGCACCCTATATATATATATATGTGTGTGTGTGTGTGTGTGTGTGTGTGTGTGTATGTGTGTGTGTGTGTGTGTGGTGGGTGGGGGAGGGGGTAGTCGTACTACTATAAGTAAAGTAAATAAGTAAACGAAAACTAACTAGTAAGTAAATTAAAATTAAATTTAACTAACCAAAC